TATTGTTAATTGATTTACTTGAATTTATTTTTAATGTTCATAAAGACGTTACACATCTTACAGCTGTTCTTATACAGCTGATTTTTTAATTTTTCTATTGTAAATTGATTTACTTGAATTTTAAATTGAATCACTCGAATTTTTATTTATCCATTTTTTTTTCTATTGTTAATTGATTTACTTGAATTTACTTTAATGTTCATAAAGACGTTACACATCTTACAGCTGTTCTTATACAGCTGATTTTTTAATTTTTCTATTGTAAATTGATTTACTTGAATTTTAAATTGAATCACTCGAATTTTTATTTATCCATTTTTTTTTCTATTGTTAATTGATTTACTTGAATTTACTTTAATGTTCATAAAGACGTTACACATCTTACAGCTGTTCTTATACAGCTGATTTTTTAATTTTTCTATTGTAAATTGATTTACTTGAATTTTAAATTGAATCACTCGAATTTTTATTTATCAATTTTTTTATTCTTTTTTGATTCGTAATTGTAAATTAATTTACTTGAATTTTTTTTTTAAATCGAATTTTTTTCAGAGGGAAAGTAAAAAATCCAACAACATTTATTTAAATGAAAAAAATTTTTAGTATTTCTTCTTGATTTTACATTATTTTTTCCTGTTTGCATTTTCTATTTTTAATTTAATTTTTTCGTTCTAACAATAGTACATAAATATCTTTCGAATTTCCTGGCCAATCGGCAGGTTCTAATGATTTTATATGAGTATCATTTATTTTTACGTAATTATTTTCTTGTATTAATATATTTGTGTAATGTCCTCTCGCAACAGATTCCCCGTGATGAAATATTCCATTTTTTAAATTATATTCTTTATTATTAATCGTTATCGTTGCAGTAGGCAATCCTGTAATATGTAAATCATTCAATTTAGCGACAATATAAGTATTCTTTACCCTAGGATTTACAATTGTTTTGAAAATTTTTAAATGAAGTAATACAATTTTGTTATCTTCTATTATTATATCACTTTTTCGTCGTAATACATTATTATCGCATTCGGAACATCGACCTTCTGTTTCAGTCCACTTATCAAAATTGAAATTTACTAAATCTTGAATACTGTATGTTTCTTTCGGTTCTGGAGGTATATCTAGCTGTATTAAAGTATTAATTTGTTGCTCCCGGCGCTGATAACCGCATTCTATACAGATAGTTGTGTATATAATCATATTTTTTATTAAGTTCTGTAAAATACCAAATTGTGAAATCAAGTCTTCAATGAACTCCGGAACATCTTGTTCTTCCTGTCTTAAATATTTTTTACCCGCAATGTATCTAAAGTTTAGAGTATTTAAATCATTAGCTTTAGATTTATATTTAGATAAAAAAAGTTTAAGAAATTCATCATTTTTCGTTGTGTATTTTCGATTTTTTTGGATGTTTACTTCATTCCATAATAATTTTGAACTCAGTAGTAATTGAATGGATGAATTTGCATAACACGATACACCATCGTTTGGTAAAGGAGTAACTGTATTCGTGTATTGATCATTCAAAATTATAATTTTTTTAAGAGTTCTTGCAGTATTTTTTTCTGAATGTTCTTCATTAATTTTTGGTAATGAATTAACTGTAAGATTTTCTGTAGAAATAATTGGTAATGAATGAACTGTAGGATTTTCGGTGGAAATAAAATCAGAGTTTTGTATTTTTTCATGAGTTCGTGTAGCAGTGTTTTCGAAATTTTCGTTATTATTTTCCGAAAATGAATCTGAGGCGGACTTTTCTTTTTCTTTTGATATAATAACATCAGAATTTTTTATCAAGGATAGTAAAGGCCTATGGTAGCTAAAATGTGATATGTATAGTCTAGTAGCTACGTTTAGATATCTAACGAACACAGCATCAATCGTAGTTTTATCTTTTGTTGTAAATTCTGTTGGATTATTATTCAGTTCTAACTGTAGTTTATCCTTCAAGAATTCTATTAAAGGAAGTGACTCTTTAGAAGCAAAATTTGTGTTAAAGTCTCCAGCTAAAACCATTGGTAATTGGTGTAAATTTTGGTGTAACAGGGCTGAACCTTCTCGTGTAAAATTAAATAATTTTTTTAGAATGAACTGTATAATAGAGGTAATAGTCTGTTTGGTCGAAATATATATAGCTGCTATTAAAATACTTCCTCCTTCTTTCATCTGACACTGCGTAAAACATATATCACCAACCGAATCCTGACCAACTTGCCAATTTGTTGGGTCACACAAGTTAGCACTACCTTTTTTAGAATATATAGCTACTCCCCCCGCGCGTTTATCCATTCGCTTATTTTTAATGACACAATTAAAATTTGCTATTTCAATATCTTCGTTATCATAGATCCAAGTTTCTGTAAGTAATAGAAAATCACAATGATTTACTATAGTTTCATTTAAATCTGGAGCATGCTTGCGAAGACTTTGACAATTAAAAGTTAATAGTTTTAATCCACTGTCTGAAAGTAACCAGTTTTTTAGTGAATCCTGAATTGTTTCTAATCTATTTGAAGATAATCTTTCGAACTCTTTTTGTAACGGAAGGACCGATGGATCTCTATTCCTGCCATGATAAAATCTTTTGTCATTCGTTGCATTGGTAATAAATAAACCATCAATTGATGTAACTCTAGACAATGCCACATATAACAACGGAGTTGTATGGGTTCTTTTGTATTCATAAACAATTTGCTCAAACGTACCTCCTTGAGATTTATGAATCGTCATTGCGCATCCTGATATCAGTGGAAAATTTTTTCGTTTCGCATTAATAGTCTTATTATTGTTCAAATGTATTGTTGCAGTCCTACGCTCTATCGGCACTGCGTGTTCACTTATGTTCAACTCTTTTGCTTTACCAGCAGCCTTAGATCTTATTTTTTGACCAGTTTTTCGATCACGAAAAATAAGCCAAACTCGAACCGGTTGACCTTCTTTCAATTCGATATGAACTAATTTCCCAACAGCACCATTAGCCAATCCATCCGCAACGTCAATATTCGTTGTTATAATATAGAGCTTGTTGAGAACAAAAGTAATTTCGTACGGTAAACCACCAGTTTCAATGACAGTTTTTTTATGCAACTTCTGTATTAAAAAAGTTGCTTGATCAACATTATTTTGATCGTTTCCATGTATGCTATCAATAGCAATTGAGATGATTTTATCTTCATGTGATTGTAGAATTTTGTTATTGTAACGATTTACAGAATTGTTATCAAAATATAACCTGACACCATCTGGGCACTGCTCATCAGCCTCTTCTTTTGTATAAAATCTGCTTTCTATAAGTTGCAGCTCGCTCTCATCTAAAACACTTCCGTTGCCAATTTTTGTCAACATTGAAGAGAAAACAATATCGGATTGTCGCATAACTTGGGTCAATTCATAAAATTTCAATCCTTCCCAAAGAATTGGACCAATCATTCGTTGTTTAGGTCGTTTATAAATTGGAGTAGCCCTTACTGGTGGCAATTGCCGTAAATCACCTATGAAAAATATATCTAATCCACCAAAATTATCATTGTAATTACCGGTTATTTGTTTCAATCTAGAATCAATGAGTGTCAGAAGCTCCGATCCAATCATACTGACTTCATCAATTATAATAACCTTTACATATTTAAAAAGACATCGAAATAAGTGAAGAATTTCGCTGCTCAATGGTAACACATTGGAAATGGTTAATTTTAATGCTGTATGAACAGTAGTTCCATCAATTGCTACAGCAGCCTTACCGGTTGATGCACAGGTTATATACGAATTACAAAGACCATCAGTATGTGAGAATCGGTTGTAAATGTCCATAATTAATTTGATGACAAATGTTTTCCCACAACCTGCTGGTCCAGTCAAAAATACTTGTAATGGTGGTGGCTGGCAAGATACATTATTATTGTAAGATACAATATGATGAATTATATGGTTAAGAAGATTAAATTGCTTTTCATTTGCACTTCTCATCAAATCATAAAATCTATCAAGCTCCATTAAGTTCTCTCTTTTTTTTGCAACAGCGCCCAATTTCTGTATGGTACCTAAACGGAGATCTTCATTCATACCAGCATTAGGATTTCGATATAACTCTTGATAAGGGTCCGCTTCCGGAAAACGATCAACATCATTTGGCTCTTCGGAATCTTCACCATCGTTCTCCTCATTCTCTCTACATAACTGGCGACATATTTCAATTGTTTTCTCTAAATCTAAATTAGATTCAAACTCTTTTCTTTTGTTCAAAATCTCATTTTCATTATCATCATATATTTTATTAAATTTCATTTCATCTAAAATATCAGCTTCTTCATTTCTAAATGGAAAATGCAGGGTCACCATTTCTCTTCTATACTCATTGTAATTTGCTGCCATGTCATATTTTCTATATCTAATAATACGAGGCTGATCTCTTTCTACATATTCATTCTTGGTATTTAAATAATATTTTGCAACAAATTGTGCCAATGTCACATCATTTAAATGTTCTGGGCGTTTTTCATATTTTTCAAAATGATTTTCTTTCCAGATGCCAGTATCATTTTCATCTAATTTATCGATTTCTCTTTGTGTTTTTTTAATCCTTTCTCTATCAATAGGCCAACATGTGTTGATATAAATTACAGCTATTGAACTTTTTGACATTGGTTCCCGCAAGAGATACCATGCGGCTTCCTGGCTACTCATTTCAACAGAATTTAACATATCAACACTCATTTTTCGTGTGATTTCTACAATGCTAAATTCAGGATGCTCGTCCATTGTTTCTATTATTTTTCGTTGTAAATTACTTATGCCTCTGTTCGTTTTATTTACATATTCAATAACGTACTGCGCCACAGAATATTCTTCAGTTATTATTTGAAAATCCATGTTTGATTTCAGCAAACTAAAAACAAATGGATTGAAAGCATTATACCATTTTTCAGATGTATCTCGTTTAATAAATATCCTCGGTCTATTTATACCAGCTGCAACGATATTGTAATATTCATCATCCGATGTAATATTATTTTCTTTATAAAACTCATCAATGTCTTTATAGTTTTTATCCTCTAAATTAAGTCTGATCTGACTATATCTTTTTTTAAATTCATTATAGTTCGACTCCGATGATTGCATTGGTATAATAACATTTGTAGCTTTAAAAGGCAGGAAAGGAGCTTCAAATCTACATTTTTGACCCTTGTTTGCCCCAATCTTTTTATAACATGTAAATGTATGTTTATGAGTTTGCAATTTTATGTTTCCTGATGCTTCTGATTTCGACACTGATATTAAACGATCGATCATCTCTATTGCTTGAAGTTTATTTTTATCTAAAATATCATCTGGAGCATTTTCAAGCCAAAGTAAAATATGAGCATGAGGGCTTCCTCTGTGTTGAAATTCAATTCTTTTAAAATAATCTACAACTCTATATTTTCCAAACGGACTAATTTTTTTAGCCTGCAAAATATTCAATAGAACGTTCACTAATTTATTGAAGTAAATTGCACATGTCACTGAATCTTCATTAATGAGGGTACTTTTTTGAATATAGTTAAGTTGTGTCACGTCGAAATCATCGACGTTTTTGGCCAATTTGTGTAATAATTCCAATAAACCATTCCATCCTATTTCATTTGCACTCAAGGTCATAAATGCTGTTGGTTTACCTTTTTGACGAATTATAGCAAAGAGATCTTTTTTCCTCGCTTTCCAATACCAAACAGAGTTCGGTATCGACCTTAAAAAAGCTAAATTTGATTCTATGCAGTTATTAATATACTCTTCGCTTTCAATTTGTTTTTTAGTTACGTGAGTATCTTTTCCTATGTGCCTAAAAGCTATTGTTAGACAATCACGAACTCTTATTCGCATTATCTTCACAGCCGCGTATAATAGGTGATGAGGAGTGATAGCACGACGATCTTTGCGCCTAAGTTCACTAGTGATCATCATGTAGGGTGTCACTCTTAAATCTTCAGTAAATCGTCTGAACTCTCCTAAATAGATTGATGGAAATGATAACTCTTCGGCATGTTCATCGAACAATATACTGTGGGGAATTTTAAATTCACCTGGAGCAAGAGACAAACATTTGTCCTCACTCCACATTAGAGTTTGTTGTTGAGCAATGAGACTTTCTTCGATTGGAATATCCTCACTATAATCATTTAAATTATCCTCTTGCTCTTCAACGTTTTCTTCCATATCTCGAAAAAATGAATCATTGATTTTAATCTCGTACTTTTCATACAATGGTGTTTTGACTAAGAACTTTAACCATAATTTTATATCTTTTTTCTTTACTAATCCATGCACATAACTAGATTTGTGCACGAGTTTTTTTTTTAAATGAACATAAAAACAATGATCATCGTTTAATTCTCGAGGCAATGTTTTAACCATTGTATCCACCGACACGGGTACATTGATGATCTGGCCATAAATACCAAATTGACCATGTACATGACGAAGTCTCCTTATTTGCATGAATGGAATACGAGGAGAAATTAATCTTTCAGTTATAAAATCAAGTTTTGGTAAGTCAGATGGTAATTCTGGGAATTTGAATCCATTGTATACTGCAAAGTTGGGTATTTTATCATTATCAATTGCTTTTTTACAAGTTGAACATACCATCGCCTCAGATGCATCTTGCAGATTCTAAAAGGAAATTAAAAAAATAGACGTTACACATCAAAAATATTAGATCAAAAATATTAGATCAAAAAAAGTTTTATTTAAATATTTGAAAAAAAATATTACCGTTATTTTCTTCATTAATATTTCATGACCATTTATTTTCTTAAGATCTGCTGTAAACCATAGTCTGTCACAAACAGTGCAAGCTTTTCCAAATGGGTTTTTTATAAATTTTTTCTCAAACTCGTTTCTTGCTCGAACATGCCTTTCAAAATTAGAGTAATTTTTCGTATTTTCTTGAATAACTTGTGGAGTTTGATTGCATTCTTCTTGCACGTGAATACTTATATGAATTGAATTTTATTATTAAACCATTTTATTAAATATTATCCTGCAAAATAGAAGCCAAAAAATGTATACGAACCTATTAATTACTTCTCTATCAATATTCTTATCAGTCTCGGTTACGATATATTTTTCTTTTACATTAGTATTTTGTTGTTCATTATTTCTACAATTTATGGCATTATTCATAAAATTTGTTGAATCATCGAGTTGATTCTGTAATAATCTATCTCTGTATTCACGATGCCGTTGTTTTTCTGATTCACGAAATTCTTCTTCTAAAGAATTCGATTCTAAATTCTGTTTTTTCTGCTGCCTAGAAATTTGATGACGTTTCTTCTCCTTTTCCTTATACATATCATCATTTTTCTTTTTTTTTCTATATTCAATATGACGATTCTTTTCTTGCTCTTTGTAGATGGGATCACCGTTTTTTTTATCAACTCTGTATTTTCTTTGTTTAATAACCTTATCAGGTACGCAATCACGCCGCAAATTATCTGTATCGTACAAAGATGACAAATCATCCATCATTGACGATTCTATTTCCTTTTTATTTTTTCGGTACCGTTGATCCTTGGATAGTTTAGGAAAAAGATTTCTACAATAAAATTTTATGAAAAATATATTTTATTAATAACACAAATAGAAAATTTCATAATTTAAAATTCATAGTTATGATTGATATTACTTACAACGTAGTTGTACTTGGAGGTACGACTAAATTTTCCATAGATTTAAATTTTTTTTCGGGGGTTTCTTGAATTTCAGACGAGATTTTGCGTTTAACCTGGCATCGTTTTATTGGTTGGATACTATATACAAAATGGACAAGATCAAATTATTAAAAAGTATTTTGTTTATTTATAAATTGGTTATATGTGTTCTTTGAAAACAACAGTAAGTGATACTAACGTAGATAACATTTGCGATAGATTAACACAACTTGCATGTGTTTTTTTCTGTTTTTTCTGTTGTTTTTCCTGTATAGCTTGTTCAGTTTGTAACTCTTCAAGTGATCGATACAACTGTTTAACAATTGTATCGTTACTATTAAAAAAGATCATAATAATATTATTTTCGTTATGTAATTGTAATGAAATTAAATGTTTTTTTCATGTTTTATGTATCAATAATACTAACATTGACAATTGACTTAGTCGATTTAAATGCGCTGATTGTTTTTCCAGTTGTTCATTTTTCTCAGAAGCTTGTAAAGATCCGAACGATTCAACTGAAGGGTACAATGATTGTTGAACAATCGGAGGACTGTTGTTTAAAAATTCACATTTTATTATGAATTTATTTTCAATTTTCAATTATAATTATTCAGTGATAATTGCAAAGGGAATTATTTCTTTAAATTTTCAAATAGATCGATCATATACTTACGTAGGAATTGTGTATGGTATATTAATACCCGTTTTTTGTTCTCGTTCATTCGCTTGTATGGATGGTAATAAGTTTGGTGGCTTTTCATCTTTATCACGAATTTGCTTTTTCATTTTCAATAATTATTTTTCACAATATTCACACAACAATCACTAGCTTCGATATTTAATCGACAAATAAATCAAACTTATGTAAACACGGATTCAACGAGCCTTAAGACGTTACACATCAAAAATCGGCTCTACTCTTCAGCGATTCTAGTGAAACTAGTACAAATGCGAACTGTGATGAATTCGCTTACAGATCAGTTCACTGTGTGTAGATAAAAGTACTTTTGATATTTGTTCTCTTATTATTAATAAGACATAGGTCATAACTGTTTACATATGAATCAAGGTAATGAATCTTGAAAAAATGTGTAAAGATGATCTGTTCTTTATCTAAATTTTCATTTCACAACTCAAAAATAATATACATCAAAATATTTTTAAGGGTTTAAAATTTTTCATGGGTGCATTTCATGGGTTTAATAAACGCACGAGACTTGGCTGTGTGTATGTATAAGTATATATACTAGACATATTACATGAACACATCAATATATTATCGTACGCATACAATCATACACTGAAATTCATAAATATAAACGTGTGCGCCAAGCTGTAAGCTACAAAGTGCGTCCTAATATATTGTGTCGTTCGACCAAGCAACACGCACGTGCCTGTATAGCGGGAGAGAGTCAAGTGAGTGAGAGAGATACGTACACACTACGCTGTTGTACATAGCCGTTTCATAGACATATGCGCGAAGCACTACCATAGCCCGCGTTCGTGCCGCAGCAGAAGCGAGCGGGCAATCACTCGACACTGTGTAGCGTCGACCAATCACGGCGCGAGAAGCAAACAGACGCTACTGAGGCTAAAAACCTACGATTATCGCGCTCGCTCGCTCGCTCGTTTTTCACGGATTCACTAGCCTACTCAACGATCCATAAGACGTTACACATCAATAATGTAGGTAAGGGAAGTCGGCAAATTGGATCCGTAACTTCGGAATAAGGATTGGCTCTGAGGGGCGGGGCGTGTCGGGCTTGATCGGGAAGCGGGTCTGGCTGAGGTGGCGGGCCTGGGCGAGTCGTGCGTAGTCGTCGCGCGAGGTAGCGTGCGCGTTCACGCGCGTACGCCCTCGTGCGCTCGGTTGCGCCGCGTCGAGCTCGGTCCGTTGCCCCGGCCTCCCGCGGATCTTTCTTGCTGCGAGGCTTTCGGGGTGGTTACGCCGCTCCGATCGTCCTCTTCGGCCGCCATTTAACGCTCAGCTCAGAACTGGCACGGACTAGGGGAATCCGACTGTCTAATTAAAACAAAGCATTGCGATGGCCCTCGCGGGTGATGACGCAATGTGATTTCTGCCCAGTGCTCTGAATGTCAACGTGAAGAAATTCAA